CTCGCCTGCTGCCCTTGGGAGTGTGAAAGAGATGAGAGAGAGGAGGGTGAACGAAAGAGTGAAAGGGCAGTGGGACAGCGGCTAGCCTGCTGTCCTTTGAGGTTTGACAGAGATGTGAGAGAGGGTGAGGGTGGAAGAGGAGCGAGAAGAGAATGGGGAGCAGCTAGCCCACTGCCCTTTGAGGTGTGAGAGAGATGAGGATGGAAGAGGAGTGAGAAAAGAATGGGGCAGTGGCTAGCCCGCTGCCCTCTTGAGGTGAGAGAGATGTAAGAGAGAGTGAGGGAAAAAGAGAGAGGGAAGAGAAGGAAGAAGAAGAAAAAGAAGAAGGGAGAAGACGGAAGAAGAAAGAAGAGAATTAGAAAGAAGAAGAAGATAGAAGAGAGAGCATAAATGGATGAGGCGAAGACTCAAACCCACCGGTTGGGTGTGCTTCCCCCTGATACTTTGAAGGTGAAGGTGCTTGGAAGAAGGGCATAGACCCTTGGATGAGGGCTAGATGTAGGGGTTGAAGTCTTGGGCTCAAGTGAGTACGGGTTGGGGTGGACCTAGGCTAGGTATACGGCTAGGCTAAGTTGGGTAAGGTGAGCATAGTGGCTTAGAGACTATGGTTAGCTTGGGTTGGGTAGGCTAGGGACTATAGCTTCAATGGTCTATGGACTAGTGGAGGTTAGGTGGTAAGGTGGAGTGGAGTATGGGTAGTAGGGACTATGGTTTAGGAAGGGATATGTGGGGTGTATGGAGTATGGGTTGTGTGGAGTATAGTCTAGGTTTGGGTTAGGGACTAGGGTTAGGGAAGTGTGAACTATGGTTTAGGTTTGGGGTAGGGTGGTCCAAGGGGTATTCTCCTTTGGGTAAAGTTTTCTCTCCTCTCTCTTAAGGTAAGAAAGAAAGCACAAACTCAAAGAAAAAGCTAGCACAAAGCTCTTCTTAAACTAAATTACTAGAAAATACATATTTTTTGTAATAAAAGTGAAATTCGATTTTGAGAAAAAATGACCTTTTTGCTCCTCACACCTTTCATCAAAATGACAAAATAGTCCCCAAAAGGGGACCTCATGGTTTGCTTGCAGTTCAGGGCTCTTTTGGGCATCTTTGGGCAAGCTTTCAGGCGATCAATTACCGGAATAATGACCCACACCATGGGGATCGTTTTGGTATGCATTATTAGGGTTGGGGCGGAGTTTTGAGTGTGTTCTCAAAATCCGGCCAAACCCATAAACTTGCAATCTTGAACTCTCGATCATATGCTCGGTCTTTGTCGTTTCGGGTCATTTTCTTTATCATATATCAACGGGAAGTTCGCCCCCGTTATTTTGCCGTAAAAATCTCTCCGTTTCGATGTCGAATGATCACTTTTAAATTGGGAAGATTGCCAAAAAATGGGATTCCCGACACAAGAAAATGCCTCTTTTTGTACGCCATAATAGAACAGCTTCCCGGCTTCCATTTTGAGCGAGTAAGTTCTCAAATCGAAGCTCTCTGAGCTACGGTCGCAACGGACCTGCCCATGACGCCATAAGAGTCCGGAATCTCAAGATATAAGCCCTAAAGCGAGGAGATACGTGGCGGTAAAATTCTGTGTTTTCATGGATTTCGGTGACCTTCTCTCTAGGATTTCTCCCAAACCGTGAGGTCTCATGGTGTGTGCCACTACCAAATCGAAGGGTTTGGTGAGGGGAACAACATATCCAAATTTGGGGTCAATCCGGTTCAAGACGAGGGAGATCGGAGCCTTCAAAGTTGCCCAATTTTTGAAAAACGCAGTTACTAGAAATAGTAACGGGTTGAAAAAGATAAAGTTAATAGTAAAAAAAATACTATTCTTGGAAAGTATGACCTAGAAAGGTCAAAGGAGCTGAAATTTAGCGCAGAGGCTGTTCAAGGCCTCTCGAATCCATTAGCAATGGTCTCATAGTCGTTGGAGATCTCTAGAGTAGAGTTCCAACTATGGTGTGCCGTATCATACAAGAAACTTGCCCTTTATAGCACGTACGACCTAGGGAGGCCGGATTGGGCTGAAACTTGGTACGGTGACTGTTCTCGAGCTTATGAATCTATTGACATTGATACCATAGTCACTGGAGGTCTCCAGAGTAGAGTTCCAATTATGGTGCACCGTAGCATGATAAGAGCTCAGGCTGAAAACGAACTTTGTACCTGTTTCTTCCATTTACATCCGAATTGAGAGAAACATGGAGGGGATCCTTAAATCATCATGGGGGACCCACCTGCTCAGTCTGGGAGTAAAATGATGTCTCTATCACGGCTTTCCAAAATAAGACTTATTTGGTAAGGGTTTTAGTAGTCCATAGGAATTTTTGGTACCTGTGGGTCTAGGTTACCACTGACTTCTCCATTATTAGCATGGGGATACCAGCTTATCAAAAATACCCTACAACAGCTTGCCCTACCGAATGTTGCTCTTCAAGAGAAGCAAGAAGTGTAGCATTCGCAACAAAACTGGTCTCTCAATTTTCATTTTTTTCCCGATCACCAGTACCGACATGACCTTTGAGATGAAATCTTGCGAAGCTACTTCCCTGGGGGATGACCGGGGTGCACTAACAATCGGGAACCTTTTAAAAGGCTTGTAGACCCATTATAGCTAGGACTTTTGGCGAAGGAGAGACTTGATCCGCTGGTGAGGGCATTGCTCAAGGGCTTCCTTTCCACTTCAGTGGTTAACTTTTGGTTCCAACAACTAGGGGCCTTGCTTAAGGGCATGTGACCCAGCCTTGTCAGAATCATGATTTGTCTAGCAATCTGGGGCATTGCTTAAGGGCTTCCATCCCAATCGGTCAAGTTTTATGAAGAAGTCTAGTGTTTGGGGGCCTTGCTTAAGGACTCGTAACCCAAATCATTAGCTTTTATCCTTGATCTTCTGATGGGGACCTTGCTTAAGGGCTGGTAACCCACATCAGGAGACATTTTGCTTTTGAAAGACAATGGAGGACCTCTTTGTGGGCATACAAACTGCTACACCATGATGAGGGACAGTTGATAGTTGGAGGCTTCTTTGGGGCATGTCTCTAGTCTGCTAGTGCCTAGTCGGGGCCAATGGGAGCTTCCTTCTCGAATGTCGAGGCATACATAGCAGAGGGGAGCCCTATTAAATCGATTATCCAATCTACTGAGGCGCTGATCTGGCTTAACAATTGAGAAGCCTATTTGAGATGAGATCCACTCTGTCAACTTGATTTGTTGTTTTTGGTTGACTTCATAATTGGGAATTTCTTCAGCATGTGACTGTTCCGACGTGCCATCTTTGTGATTTTTTTGACTTTTAGAAGCCCTTTGGAGGCTGACCCGAGTTGAAGCATTTTTTTTAAGTTGTTTGTGGTTTCGTTGGTAGGGCACCCTTTTGAAGGGGTATTGATTGCCATACTACCGAACTTTTGCCTGAAGGAGCTGGCTGAAGCTGCCTATGGAGGCGAGCGATACATCAACCTGCTTATTGATCCAAGCGCCCTTTCAGGTTTTCACTTGAACTGAGTGGAAGTGGCACCAGGGAGCGGTTTTCACCAACTTCCTTTTTATTTATTTTTGAACGCTTTTACTCATGGCTTCATGGCCACACCCGTCATTTTTTTTCATTTTTACTCATGGTGCCCTTTCAGGTTTTCACCATGCCCGATTTTTTGAACTCTTGTACTCATGGCTTCATGGCCATGCCCGTCTTTTATTTTTACTCATGGTGCCCTATCGGGATTTCACCATGCCAATTTTTTTTAATTCTTTTACCCATAGCTTCATGGCTACGTCCGTCTTTTATTTTCCTTTTCTTTTTGACATGGTGATGGTGAATGCATAATGGGAAGGTCCCTTTATTGTGATAATGGGTGTTAAAGCTCCATAGTGGGTGTTGAGACTCACTTGAGGAGAATGAGAGTCTTAGGAGAAGCTCCATGGGGGTAAAATGGTTTGGATGGTGAGCAAGAAGACTCGAAATCATTATGGTGGTACAATGTAGCTCAAGGGAAGTGGCTACTTGAAATGGTTTAAGGACCCGACTAGGGTGGGCTGATGGCTCAACTGGGGAGTGATAGGCTCAATGGGGCATCAATGCCAAGTGGGATGCACGAGCAGTCTTGGGAGTATGGGATGGTCCAGTAGGGGTGGCCATCTGAGGGTTGATGACTCCAATGGGGATTGACGTGGTCAATTACCCATGGGTATGTATGAAGGTTGATGACATGGGTCAAAGGTGAGTTCATGCGTGGTGAAGCACTCTATCTAGGAGACCATCCAAGGGCTTAGATGGTACATGTGATGAAGTAATTGGGGACAGTATTGGCTTCGATGGGAGCGCTCATTTATGTTTTCAAATGATTCTCAAAGAGGTGAAGGTGTTGTTGAGTGACCCAAGGTGAGATGGTTACATGGCGGTCATGGTTTACCTCATGGCATGGGTGAGGCATAGGTCCACCAGGGAGTGAAGGTAGCTTTGTGAGATGGGTGAAACTCGCTGGGGTATGGTGACGTTTTAAGGGAAAAACTGCCCATAGAAAATATGAAAGGACACTCGGTCCTAGAACTAAGATAAAAAGGACTTTTAAACATTCATATTTCATAAAAAAGTAAGGAGTGATTAATTGCTTAAATAATTGACAACCATTAGTTGACACAGGGGCATGAGTTAGAGATTGGTACTATCGAGGTCTTAAGTGACACTAATGACATGAGGCATTACTATTTTCCTTTATAGTAAATATTCATTTTGAATTAAATTGAATGTACTATTTTTCTTTATAGTAAATATTCATTTTAAATTAAATGGAATGAACTTTCACTCAAAGATAAATAATAAATAACTAAAATAAGACTTACTAAATACTAATAACAGAAGATGATAACTTGTAATAATTTGTCAAGATCTGATTTATAATGCTAGAAATTCTTTTACATATGCATTAGTAATAAACATCTAAAGTACGTAATATTTGCTGATGAATATATGTTATTACAATCTTAGCTAGAAGAATGAAGAAACAAAATGGAACCTGTCAGTATTCAAAGTTCTGAAGAGTACACGCTTGACTCCTTTAGGAATACTTAGGGACTCCATGACCATTGCTGAAAACATGGAAAACACAATCACTGGCTAAAAACACCGGTTCGATGACCTTAATAAACTTGAACATTAACATGATTTCAGAAAAATAATATCCAAGCATACTAATAAGCAATGATGCCAATTACAAGTCAGCCACAAAATAGAAACTTCAGGAAACAAGATGTGCGTCGCACGTATCAATTCACAAAGTTATAGCACAAATGCATTTTAAGATAACTTACAAAGTTTAAATGATAGAATACAGTACTTAAAATATGACAGTAATTGTAATAACAAAGTAAACCAAGAGTATTTACTTCAACAGAGAATGATCGCATCAGCCACAAACTGTGGCAATCAACAGGGGAAAAGGTTAACAACCATTTCAAAGATTATCAATAAATCATTTATGCTCCATATTAACTTAATTAGAGATTATAAATAAAGCATTTATGCTCCATAGTAAATTAATTATAAAATACAATGAGGTCAGTTTCTATTTTTGGACATCAATAGTTGCTAAAGGTCATCTAACAAATGATTCAGAGCACTACAAGCCATGCCTTTTAAATCCAATTGGCTCTTTATCATGGTACATTGTCAAAAATACAAAAATATACTCAGCCGACTTATTATGCACATAGATAGGCCAATAAAAGAAGTGATACAATTTTTTAAAGGGAAAAGTTTATATAGAACCGAGGCTCTAAACAATCAAATAAGAACCTACGTCAAAATTTTCACTAGAAGAGGTTGTTTTTGATGCCCAAATATCCTCAAATTGATCATCTCGACATCAAGATGCATGAACACAAGAGAAAAATGGATTTCAAGTTTTGGAAATAGTGTATTTTGTAACGCATTTTTTAACCGTCAATTTTCAAGATTTTCAAGTTCTCATAGATTTGCCGATCTACACTATTTTTGAAGCTTTAAACTTTATAAATAAAGATGAAAATATATTTTAAGGCTATCACGAAGAATTCTAGTATTGAAACCACATTTCTCGAAACTATTTGAAGGTAGGCTCTAATTTGATGGTTCAGGTCCTAGCCTATATACAAACCCCACCCTTTTTTAAAACAGCATCTAGTTAAAAATATGGCCATATATAAACAGATACACAAGGAAATGTGTACATGTAAGTATTGTTCTGCCCAATCGAAGTCGAGTTGACTTCCCAAAGTCGACTCAACCCGATCATTGGACAAGTTTTAGATTCAACACTCAGAACAGTGAGCTTTTCAATTTCTTAGAAAATTATGATGAAATAACTATAAAACAATTTCTGGCTATCATGATAATAATTCCACAAGGTTGGAGGTATTTAATTAGTTAAAGCTCCAAGTTTTCAACAGTAAGTTGCACTACACTTGGAGACTCCCACCTCCCTATCAGCAACATAGTTATGGGCACTTTTAGAAATTCCTTGCCCCCCCCCCCCTCTCCTCTCTCTCTCTCTCTCTCTCTCTCTCTCTCTCTCTCTCTCTCTACTCTCTCTCTCTCTCTCTCTCTACTCTACTACTCTACTCTACGTACTACTACTACTACTACTACTACTACTCTACTACTACTCTCTACTA